AATAATGTTGAAGTATGCTAGAGAAAAGGGACAGGACCACACCCATAAAGGGAACCCCCATCAAGCTAACAGCAAACCATTCAGCGGAAAACCTACAAGCCAGAAGAGACTGGGGACCTGTATTCAGTATTCTTAAACAAAAGAATTTCCAGTGAAAAATTTAATCTCTAGCCAAACTAAGCTTCATATGTGGAGGAGAAATCGAATCCTTTTCAGACAAGCAAATGCTAAGGGAATTTGTAATCATTGAACCTTCCTTACAAGAGGTCCTGATTGGAGCACTATAAATGGAAAGGAAAGACCATTACCAGCCACTACAAAAACATACTTAAGTACAGAACCTATAGACACTATAAAGCAACCAAGCAAATGAGTCTGCAAAGTAACCAGCTAACATGATGACAGTACATAGCAATATCAACCTTGAATATAAACAGGCTGATGCCACCATAAAGTGGCACGCTACATCAAGAAACAAGACCCAGTGGCATACCGTCTGCAGAAACCATCTCACATGCAGTGACATCCTTAGGCTTAAAATAAAAGGATGGAGAAAATGCTACCAAGCCAATGGAAAACAAATCAACAGTTGCGATTTCAAATTCTGACAAAACAGACTTTAAATCAAGGAAGATCAAAAATGACAAAGAAGGGCATTACATAATGGGAAAGTGTCCAATTCAACAAGAATTCTAACTATTCTCAATATATATGCACTCAGCATAAGAGAACCCGTATTCATAAAGCAAATTCTTAAGAGACCTGCAAAAAGACTTAGATTTCTACATAGTAATAGTGGGAGTCTTTGACAACCCACTAACAGTATTAGACAGACTATTAGGGCAGAAAATTAACAAAGATATTCATGATCTGAATAAACACTTGACCGAATGGGCCTAATAGAGATCTATAGAACTCTCCACTCCAAGACAACAGAATACACATTCTGCAACATCACCACATGGCATCTACTCTAAAATTGACCACACAATTGGACATAAAATATCCTCTGAAGATTAAAAATAACTGAAATCATACCAACCTCACTCTTGGACCACAGTGCAATAAAAATAGAAGTCAATACTTTAAAAATACTCAACACTGTAAATGAGATGGAAATTGAAGTACCTGCTACGGAGTGACTTTTGGGAAAATCATGAAAATAAGGCAGAAATCAAGAAATTCTTTGAAACTAGTGAGGACAAAACACAACATACCAGAATCTCTGAGACAAAACCAAGGAATTGTTAAGAGGGAAATTTATAGCACTAAACACCTACTTTAAAAAATTAGAAATGTCTCAAATTAACAACCTAACAACACAACTAGAGGAATGAGAGAAACAAGAGAAACCTCAAAGCTAGCAGAAGACAAAAAATAACCAAAATCAGAGCTGAACTGAAGGGCATTGAGAAACAAAAAACCATACAAAGATCAATGATTCCAAGAGCTGCTTTTTGAAAACATTAATAAAATAAACAGACCACTAGCTAATTCAAAAAAAGAGAAAGAAGATCCAAATAAACCCAACTAGAAGTGACAAAGGGAACATTATCACTGATCCCACAGATACACAAAATACCCTCAGAGACCACCACAAACACCTCTATGCACACAAACTAAAAAACTAGAAAAAAATGCAAAAATGTCTAGGCACAAAGAGCCCGTCAAGACTGAATCAGGAAGAAATTGAATTCCTGAACAGATCAATAATTAGTTCCAAAATTGAATCAGTAATAAAAAGCTTACCAGTCAAAAGAAGCTCAGGACCAGATGGATCCCAGTCCAATTTGATGAGATGTATGGTGAAAAGCTGCTACCATTCCTAGTGAAACTCTTCCGGAAAATTGAAGAGGATGAATTCTTCCTTAACTCATTTTTTGAGGCCAGCATCATCCTGATACCAAAACCTGGCAGAGACTCAATACAAAAAGAAAACTTCAGGCCAATATTCTTGATGAACATAGATGTGGAAATTCTCAACATGATACTAGCAAACCAAATCCAGTATCACATTAAAAAGCTAATCTACTATGATCAAGTAGGCTTTATCCTTGGGATGCAAGGTTGGTTCAACATATGCAAATCAATAAATGTGATTCATCACATAGACAGAACTAAAGAAAAAACACATGTGCATCTGAATAGATGCAGAAAAGCCTTTTGAAAATTCGACATATCTTTGTGTTAAAAATCCTCAACTAACTAGGCATTGAAGGGATTCTTTCTTCCTGAATGTACAGTTGCAGAATTATTTGACATTTTCATAAGTATATGTGGAAACTTAATATATTTATCAATGTTCATGATGTTTATGATGCAATACTATAATGTAATTTAGTAATTAATTCAATGAAAAACCAATATATTGTACAATTTAAAGTAAACATAATGTACATATCAATGTGAAGTTTATGAAGTATGCTTATGACTATAACTTTATTTAATAATACTAAATCCTTTGAAGGTAATATCCTTATTCCAATTTAAAAAATGTTACAGATAAGGATACTGATGGTAAGCAATATTACTTGTCCAAAAATCAATCAGCTATTACATGATAGCTTCAAAACTAATTTTCTTCTCCTTCCATTAAAGAATGATGCATTTTTTATTAATATATGAGAAAAATTTCTAAAACTGTAGATGTATTTCTTGCAAGTCAGTAAGAATATTATTAACTGCATTATTCTTAGAGTTCAATATTTATTAAAACAAGATATTTAAATCTTAAGCTATTAAAAAACTATTATGCTAAATGTAAAATTATATATCTGATTTAAAAGTAGTGAATAGCAAATATGTAATATTAGCATGTAATGATAATATATAATGAATAGGTATCTTTTCAAAATATATATCTGTGGTATGAAATACTAACATTAGAAAAGAAAAATCACTTCTATTGAAAAATTCACTTTCTATAAAAAGATATGTTGTACTTATTTTCAAATAGCCTTATAATATATTTACATTTAAATGATTTCCAATTAAATATCTTACATTAATTAAGACAATAAAGTCTTTCCATATAGATGTTAAATTATCTACATTTTCTTAGGTGAAAATGTAATAAAAGAAGCCAAGCCTCAAAAACAGCAAACTGAAATGATTTTTGCATGCTTTCTCCCCTAACATTATAGCTGTAACCAGTAACTTCTACTTATTATTTGCAGGAACTTTTTCATGCTACAATAGAGGGACATTTTGCAAAGGCATCAAGGGCTGTGTGAATATTTGATATGTTGAAGACCTGGTCTGAAACCTTTTTGGTGGAAAATTCATTAGCAGTTGCTTAGCAACTGAGGTGTTTGGATGTACTGAGAATTGCTTGACATGTTTTCAGTGGAAAATACTTTCAAAATGAGTGAAAATTTGGGATTTGGGATTTGTCTGTAAAATTTGAAAAACCTTAATTGTTCCTTATGAATAAAATATTATATTTGGAAGACATTTTGAAAGGAAGATTATTAGGACTGAGTCTTTAAAAAAAACACAACCAAAGAAAGTAATTGTCAAATTAAAACAAGATGTACTTTTCTGCTTTTAAACCTCTGGAATCTAAATAAAATATCTGAAGGTATTTTTACAATAAATAATGCTTCAAAATTTATAATATATTTGGAAATATTTACTGGTTTAGCTAGCTGATGACAGTTATTTCATATAAAATTAATGACCAACTAAGAGGGAAGACCTTTCAGTAGATATTACATAAAAAGGAGCTTTATTGTCAGGAAATAACATTGATTTAAAAGATATTTATTACTTAACGACATTATTATGAAAAACTACAGTGAGAATAGAAATGTAAAATTAAGACTCCTAACTTGGAAAAATGTAAAAAATATGGAAGTTCATTAAGCATATTATTTAATTCTTTATGTAAATGTTTTTACCACATTTTACTATTTTAAAACACACCTTTTTAAGATTACTAATTGCAGTGTTACTAAGAAAAGTCAGATAGCAATTTATCCTCCTTTAAAACTTAAGAATTTTATATTTATTTAAATTCAGTGAAAACAATTATCAGAAACAATTAACGGCAATATAACCAGTAATCATTCTGATGTATTTTCCTTAGTGGTTATAATCAGCAAATTTTACAAACACAAGCTAATGTACGGAAACTAATAGTATTCTTATATATAAACAATAACAAGTTAGAGAAAATAATGTTAGTGATTCCATTTACAACATTAACAAAGATTATTAAATACTTAGGAGTAAAATTTATGAGAAATGTACATAATCTATAGGAGGAAAACATTAAAACACTCCTAATAGACAAAAGTAGAGTTGAACAGTTAGAAAATCATGCCTGGTTCTTGAAAAGGAAAATTTCACATGATTAATAGGTCATTTTCCCCAAGTCGGTTTATTAATACTTAATATCATTTCAATAATCCATACCAACCAGGTTCAATAGGAGAACTAGAGTCAGTGAGAGATTTGATGTCTACGTTTATGGGTCTAAACTCATTGCTGTAGGTTCCTGCTTGGTTTTCTGCGTTTCACAGTATTCTCTCTTTTTTGACTACCTGCCTTGCTGACTTCAGTCCCCAGCATAAATACAGAAGCATAGTCTGCTAACACAGACTGTTTACTCCATTCTCACCATTGTATAAAGTTTATAATCATTTGACGAGTCCCTTTTTTTCTTTCTTTCTTTTTCTTTTTCTTTTTATTTTTTATTTTTTTTGAGACGGAGTTTCTCTCTTGTTACCCAGGCTGGAGTGCAATGGCGCAATCTCGGCTCACCACAACCTCCGCCTCCTGGTTTCAGGCAATTCTCCTGCCTCAGCCTCCCAAGTAGCTGGGATTACAGGCACGCGCCACCATGCCCAGCTAATTTTTTTGTATTTTTAGTAGAGACGGGGGTTTCACCATTTTGACCAGTATGGTCTCGATCTCTTGACCTCATGATCCACCTGCCTCGGCCTCCCAAAGTGCTGGGATTATACTCATGAGCCTACAAGTTCCTTTTTATATTTCAGGCATAGTGATTCTGCTCTTCTGATCAATCCTGATTGACACAGCCACAGTTAAAGAAAATGGAAAGAGCTCCTGTTCATTAACTAATTTCAGATGAACAGTGCTTTCAATATTTCCAAGGTATGCTGATGACCACAGGACACATTTGAATATTCCATATAGCCATATTTTTCTTATGAATTTGTAAATTTAAACTGTATGCCTCTTATGTTGCAGATGGTAGTGATTTTTTTCCATACCAGTTTATTCATTTATCTAACTTACATTTTGTCTGTCTTATGGGTTTGTACCTGAATTATAACTAATATCTTTCCAGTATTTCTCTAATAATATTTTTTTGATATAAAGTATTACTTAATTCATCATTACCTAACAATCATATTCTGAGTAGGAATTCCTAGAAAGATATAAACCTGAATATTTTCATATTTTTTATGAATTTCATTATTTGGAATCAGTCTTTTTCCAGAATTTTAAAGTGAATAATCTAAAATTTATTTCTTTAATATTATCCTTAACAAATAAGAAATATGTAGCTATAGGTTATGCATAATGAGAGTTATAGTTACTGAAATCAGGATAATCCCTTAATATATGTTTATACGTTAGTTATCATTTTAATGCTAAAAAGGGTAGAATAAGAAATCTTTTCACAACCAGAAACTGCTCTAAACTCTCTTGCTATCTTATGTTATTTAACCATCCACATAATTCCTCAAGCAGACATTGTTGTCCTTGCTGTACAGATGACTGAACTCAGGCTTAGAGAGAGTAATAAATTGCCCAAGATGAGAAAGCTAATAGGTAGTAAGTTTGGCATTTAAGCCAAGGTCTGACTTTAACACATACTCTTAACCTCTTCAATGGAAAGCCTTTTTATGAATGGATTTAGACCCTAACACCAGTATACAATTCCTTTCATTCAAATAATTTTGTAATATTCTTTGTTAGTCAACACCAATTGTTAGAAAATACTTTCATGTAAAATATGCTTTCCTATAACTTCTTCCTGAATTCCTTCAACTGCTCTCTGAAGTGACACCAAATCAACACTCTGCTTACCCACATGTGGACATTCCTCAATCAATGGGGTTCATTATTGTCTCGCTTTTATAAATAGTTATTTTTACTCCCTTCACATGTTCATTTTCAGATGGGCAGCCTCCTAACTGCAGCTTGCCATTACTCCTCTTAGAACTGGAATGCCCAAAGCTGAAAATAAATTGACCAAACTTCCAAGCATGTTAGTCGCAAAAGTAGCAATAAACAGAAAACAATAATGTAATGCTCACCAGTTGCCCTTTGGCATTGAAACTGCCACTGCTTTAAACTGCATTAACCTGCTTGGAGATATCATTGGCATTACTCACTCGTGATCATCCATGAGGCATGATTTCCCTGATACACTCATGAGAACCTGGTCCATAGTGGGTATGCACTACTTATTGTGTAATAACTGAGTATACATTAAGCAAAAATCATTTTTGAAGAAACTTTTCATTAGAAGAGCTACATCCAATAGAATTTCATTTCCCATGGTTTGCAAGTCTTTCCTGTCTGTCCATCACGTCTTGGTTTGGGATTGTTATTTGGAACTAAAGTAGTACTCTCGTTATCAAATGATATCATATTGTCTTTTAATTATCTCAGAGTATAGCCCCAGGCACCATCACCCTTCCTCTTTCAACCACTCTATCTCTGGTATTTTGTATGTGGTTTCTGCTCAATTGTCTCTCAAGGAATTTTCATAATTCTCAACATTTTTTCCCATAGCTCTGGAAAACTATCTATGAAATCATACCTAATAAACACATCAAAACTTTGGAGTTACTCTTACCCCAACACCTGAATTTATCCTGGGCATTTAGTTGCTGAAGCCTAGTCAAGCCCGTGTAACTGCAATTGTCTGGAAGAGTTTGTCTAACGTGTCAAAATTGCCACACTTCAGTGTTCTGAATGCATCCATGTGTTTCATGATATTACAGGATCCACAAGAAAGTGAATCACAAGATTCTTAGAAAGTAGAGAAAGCACTGTCTTCTGACTTACCTAACACATTTTTTTCATCACCCTGTTCTGAGATTTTAAGGATCAGGAGAAACGGAGTCACTTTACAAAGATATTATAGTATTTTGATGAGAACCTTCGAAGATTTTAAACTTAGAAAGTTCTTTTCACTTGGAAACAACCCAAATGTCCATCAATGATAGACTGGATAAAGACAATGTGGCACATATACACCATGAAATACTATGCAGCCATCAGATGAGTTCATGTCCTTTGCAGGGACATGGATAAAGCTGGAAACCAACATTCTCAGCAAACTAATACAAGAACAGAAAACCAAACACCACATGTTTTCACTCAGAAGTAGGAGTTGAACGATGAGGACACATAGACCCAGGGAGGGGAACGTCACACACCCATGGCCTGTTGCAGTTTGGGGGACTAGGGGAGGGATAGCATTAGGAGAAATACCTAATATAGATGACGGGGTGACGGATGCAGCAAACCACCATGGCACGTGTATACCTATGCAACAAACCTGCATTTTCTGCACCTGTACCCCAGAATTTAAAGTATAATAAAAAATAAATAAAAAGAAAATCCTTTTCAAAGACAACCTTATGCTGAATTGTGAAATTGCTGTCATTACAATTCCTGACTCTTGTAGGTCTTTCAATCATGTTTCAAACATTTATTCCACTCTCCCTGACCACCCAAGCTTCCCTACAGAAGTTCAATATCTGACACATAGTTAATGCTTTAAATTCAAAACATCCCTTTACAACCTGTTTCTCATATTTGTTTTCCTCATGACTCTACTCTTTTCTTGGAATTTGTAGCATTATTTAGAGGTAATGTTCCTGTGAAGTCATGTGTAAAGCAGTTTTTGACTATAGTAAAGTTATCTTAATTTAAATTTAAAATTAATGGTGTTTTGATATATGTATACATTGTGGCATGACAAAATAAAATTATACACAGTAAATAAATACAATTTTATTTGCCAATTTAAAAATAAAAAAGCAAATGAATGGTGAAATGCTGGTTCTTGCAGGGAGCTGATGGGTTTGTCCAGGATGCCAAAGTCTTAGAGTATTTTCCATGGCATCCTTTACAGCTGTTCAAGCTCTACTCTTTACATACTTGATTTTGTTGGTGCTTTTATCTTAAAATGATTATTGATCACAATCATATTTTATTATTCTATAATTGCTGTTCTCTACATACTGAACCATAACTCACATGCCTTCTTGCAAGATAAATTCAATCTCTCACTTGAAGAGTGTACTATATTATTTTAACTTAAATATATCTCTTCTTTTTGCCTTTCTGCTTATGCATGAGAGTCTGAGGATTAAAAACTTGGCTGTCCAGTGATACCCATCCATTTAAGGAGCAGTGATCAGATTGTTTAATGATACTCTTTGTTTCTAATTGCTTGTTGTTCCATACACTAATCAACCTTTGCCTGAAGACATTTTTCATGAACTCCCTTGGCACAGTATCTTTTCTTAGCTTTAGCTTTGGTTCGTGACCTCTTGTTTTTCAGTCCATTACCTTCTGAAACTATTTGTGACTTGCCACTTTTTTTGTCCTTCAAAGTTGTATTCAACTTCAATAAAATATTTTTTAATATTCATTTTTTTGTAAGGTAATATTTTTCTACAGCTCTACAAGCTGTTTATGTTTTAAACTATTTTACTAGAAAAGAGTAGAATAGTTAGAAAAAGCTTTAAAATAAAAACATTCCAGTAAGCTAAGCCAAATTTGTTATTGGAGAAATAAAAAATATTTTATTATACATTTAGTGTAGCCTAAGTGCACAGTGTTGTATTAGTCCATTCTCAGACTGCTATAACGATACTACCTGTGACTGGGTAATTTATAAACAAAACAGATTTGATTGACTCACAATTCTGCATGGCTGGGAGGTCTTAGGAAACTTACAATTATGGCAGAAGGCAAAGGGAAAGCAGACATCTTCACAAGGCAGCAGGAGAGAGAGAGAGAGAGAGAAAGAGAGAGAGAGAGAGAGAGAGCCAGAGAGAGAGAGAGAGAGAAAGAGAGAGAGAGATCGCGCACTGGGGAACTGCCAAACATTTTTAAAAATAATCAAATCTTGTGAGAACTCACTCACTATCAGGAGAACAGCATAATGGAAACCACTGGCATAATCCAACCGCTTCCCACTAGGTCCCTCTCTTGACATATGGTGATTACAATTTGAGATGAGATCTACAGGGGAACACAGAGCCAAACCTTATCAAATGTTTATAAAGTCTGTAGTAGTTACAATGATGTCCTAGGCCTTCACAGTCACTCACCACTCACCGACACCCAAAGCAGTTTCCAGTCCCGCAATCTTCATTCATGGTAATGGTCCTATGGAAGAGTGCCATTTTTTTATTCATAGTTCTACTGTCCCTTTTGTGGGTTTACATATGTTTAGATATGCAAATACTTACCATTGTATTGCAATTACCTACAGCGTTCCATGGAGTAACATGCCGTACAGGTTTTCAGCCTACGAGGAATAGGCTAGTTGTGTAGTAGGCTACACCATCTAGGTTTGTGTTAAGTATACTCTACGATGTCTATACAATAATGAAATTGCTTGATGACGTATTTCTCAGACTGTGTCCCGTTCTTGAATCATGCATTATTGTATTTGTTTTGTTTTGCTTTATAACTTTGGAAGCTAAACTGTGGTAAAGAATACAACATCTAGGAATGTAGCTAAGTGGATTAAGAAACTTGACTAGAATGTTTCACAGTTGTCAGATATTTGGCTTTGTTGTTTTGTATATTATGTAGTGCAATATCCACTTTGCTCATACAATTACACCTCCATTTAGTTTTTAGAATATTTTTTCCTGTTATATATTAAATATATATATATATAACCCAAATTAGAAAAGTTCATGAAGTCATATGATCAAAATTCCTCCAATTAATCACCAAAGGATCTTGAATGTGACAAGGATGCCTACTTTTACCACTATTATTCACCATATTACTAAATGATGCAGAGTCAGAGCTTGTTGTTTTCTGGCAGCTCAGGCATTTATAATAATTGAGGAAATGACACATTCTTGGGCTCCCTCTTATTCTATTGGTTTACAGCTGCATCAACCACATTCTGATGAGTAATAGACACATGTATGTGTGTACATGTATATGTCCATGTATATATGTAATACTTATCTATATATGCTTATGGGTTTTTAAATGGGTTTTAATCCACACTTTTTTTTTTTCAAAACATTGTAGAATTTTTTGGTGTTGTCCAAAACATATTTACAACTTTAGTATGTAGCACTATTTAACTCTAGTTTGCAATGCAACTGTGTGCTTGACAAAACGTAAATATGTTTATAGCTGTACTTTTCAAAAACATGTTTATAAGCAAAGAAACATTTCTAGTCACAAAATTTTACCACTTTCAAGCATAACAACCATGTTAAAACTCACCCTCATTAAAATGTTAAGAAGAATCATCTTTTACAAAATTTACTTCCCACTTCCTACTTAACTATTATGGGTAACAAACAGTTATAAAAATAAATTCTAAAAACAAATCAGGTTCTTTTGAGTGCCATTTTTCAACTTGTTTCTAGTACCATATGGTAAATTTTAAAATAATATTCATAAAAATATCTTTTGAAAATTTAAGATATCTAACTAAAGACACATGCCTAAATATAATACAAATTTTTAAAAACATGAAATAGAATTGTTTAGATAAAATTGTTTTTGGATAATTGGTATCCAAGTGATTTGTACTTGAGGATAGCAGTTTGCTGGTGGCTTAAAGTAGGGGGGAATGGGGTTAAAAAGGCAATGAAGTTTTGCAAAACTAAACAAAACTTAATAAAATGAAATGGTACATATAAAATTGAAAGGACATATATAACTGAAGGGACATATAAAATACATAGAAAATGCTATAACATCAGGAAATTTTTCATCTGAATTCTAACATTCTTTACAATAAAACACTGTAAATTTCCTTCCTCCCTTATAATTATTCTATAATAGTTTAAATATTTTTTAAGGTGAACGTATTTCTCAGTTTTACCTGTAGGGAAAGAAAATTCAAAAGTAATTCCACATGCTTCACATCTAGAAATAAAATATACATACGATAAACCATTTCTGATGTGCAGTAAATGGTTTATCGTATGTAAATAAATAGTTTATGAGAATGAATACAGCTTGTGCAGTAAATGGTTTATCATATGTAAATAAATGGTTTATGAGAATGAATACAGCTTGATTTCTCCTGGCTCAAAACAATATCTAAGGCTGACTTATTATAAAAGAACCACTTTTGAAGTAAAAAATAATTAGGTACAGAATAAACAACGAAAAAATCTGTATTTTTGGAATTCATGTACATATCCAAAATAACCTAAAATAAAATTTGTCCTTGTGTGAATCAATAATCAAATTTCAAAATTACCACTGTTTTATAATAAGAATCTGTAACTAAATATGTTTTGTGAAGCTGATGTAAAATAGAAACACTTTTATGTTAATTCCACATTTTAGAAAGTGACTTAGTGGAGGTAGAAGAAAGGCCAAACCACAATAATATGAGAATCTCTAATTAGGCTAATTACCTGCCGTATCTTCAGTGTCCTCTATAATAAACACTTTTGTTATGGAATCATATAGTTTAAAAATGTTTTGTCCTGACTTTTTCAAAACGAATTTTTATAATAATAGGAATTACTTAAGAGCAGAATTTGAATCTTTCATTCCAAATAAACTTCAGCACTAACTAAATGCACTAAAGGTGATTTACAATCTTCCTCTGGAAGTGACACTCTTCACTTCCACTCAGATGCCATTCACCTGGGCAAGTTTTGAGAGCCTTCCAAGAAAAGGAAGATAAAGAATAATCCTCCTAAAGGCACGATAATCTACCACATTGTCTTTGTTCTTTATTGATGTATTCTTCCCTTCCATTTTGCCACACACAACTTCCACTGGCTTTCTGATAATGTGGTCATGCAAAGTAATTTTTTGAGAGATTTTCAATTTAAAAGTGTCTTTATTCTAATATGTCAATAGTGATTTGCATATATAATGTGGAAGTGAAATCATCTCCCCTCAGATTATAAAGGAATTTGTCTAATGGCTTCAGGCTTCCATCCATGTTCTTGTGTGGCAGCAAGTTATCTGATCTGTAATTGTGATTTGTGTGTAGCATGTATTTTAATCTGGTAGCTTTTAAGATTTAGTCTTTATCTCAGGTCTCTTGAAATTTCAAAACACTGTACTTTCTCATGGATCTTTTTTCAACACTTAATTTAATGTATGGGCTTGAAGAGTTCATGGAGGCCTCCAGATATCAGTCACTGGTGTAGCTTTTCCCTCTGGCTGTTGACTTTCCACAGGGAATTCGGGAACCTGTCAGCATTCTTGGAGCTGAGGGTAACCTTGAGATTGGGAGGCTTTAATCCCTCAATTAGCCAATTTGAACTTCACAACTTATGTTTGTTTTCAGTACTTTATTTCTATCTAGTGCTGTTATGATTCATGTACCGGAATTTTGAGCCTCACTATTCACGTTTCTGAATAAAATAATTCTGCAATCTCCAGCATGGTTAAAGCAACTATAATTGCATAACTTAGCAGAATTTATTTTTTTTCTGGAAAAATTCTAGTGATTATATATGTATTTTATGTTTCTACATGTTTCTTATATGGACTTCCAAAAAATTCTTCAATTTCAGCTTCATCATATCCTACCTTAGAGGCATATTTCACTATTTATGTTTTTTTCTGATAATTGGTGACTTGAACAACCTTGCTATGTCTCTTATCTAGTTCTGTTCTTACAGGACTGCTCAAATTTCACTAGTGAGCGGAATCAGCAAATCAGTTATTCATCTCCTTTTAATTTCCAAAATTTCTGGAGATTATTAACTTATTTTAATAATTGTACATAATATTTTTATTATAATATCATCTCAGTACATTTTTCTAACCATCTGAAATTAAAGTTGTAAATATTTGTGAATCATGTAGTATAGGCTCTGTTATGATTTTTCAGTGAATAAATGATTATGTTAATGCAATTTATCAACTATCTTTTAATCAGTGATTTTACATACCTTATTTATCACATAGTTAACTTCTCTTTATAGGTTTATTTATTTGTGCTTTTTCTTATTTCAATGTCACACCTTTTCAATACTATAGCTTTTTAATATATTTAATATCTGGCTAACCTCAAAACAATTTTTATTTACTGTTTCTAGAAAACTGTATTACATATCCACTACAGTTTGGCCTCAAAATATCACAATTCTATGAAATTTGGCTCTAAGATCTAATTAAGTAAAACTTAATTATAAAAAAGCTATATTTAAGTAAAGCATTAGATGCCTTTTAAACGATTTTCTTCCTTCCCATTGATTCTTCTCATTCCTTCACACCACTGCTTGCCTAATATCATTATTTATTTTATCTCTGTTAGTTAGTTATTGTCAGAAGATAAGTTCTACCAGGACATTTTTTCACCATGAATCTTATTTCCATGAAGTCTCAAATGGTACTTCATTAATGAGCTTCTCCTCGACCACTCTGTTTAAAACTGCAAGTCTTGAGATGGCATCCATCCTCCTTGCTTTATTTTTCTCAATTCAGTTTTTTGTTTTTTTGTTTGTTTTGCATTTGAAGCATGGGTTAATATGTTTATATTCTGTCTTACCCACTAAAATAAAAGCGTTAAGAGGACAGACACTTTGGCCAGCTTTAGACCCTGCACCTAAAAGGTATCTGGCTGATGGTGGATGCTTAATACAGGTAGGTTGAATAAATACCTCTATTTATGACTACATTAAAAAGGGTTCTACTATAATGGCACGTGTTATTAATAATATGGGCTCTGCATTTTTCCTCATTTTTACATGAG